GCAAGTGATAGGTCATTTAGGGGTCTATTGGTTGATTTGTAGTCATTTAGGGTCCCAAAACTTAGAAAATAGCTTATTTTTGTGATTTCAAGGCATATACATCTAAAACAACCTATGATATGCATGTTATGACAAAGAATTGGTTCATTTGGTAAGATTTTAAGAAAATAGGCAAGTGATAGGTCATTTAGGGGTCTATTGGTTGATTTGTAGTCATTTAGGGTCCCAAAACTTAGAAAATAGCTTATTTTTGTGATTTCAAGGCATGCACAATCCCAAATACCTATAATAGACATGTTATGACAAATAAATGGATTATTTAGTTAGAAATGTGGATAATAGGCAAAGGATAGGTCATTTAGTTAGAAATGGTTGGATTTTGGTCGTCATCGCTCCAAAACCTTTGAGACTTGGTTTTTTTTTTGTGATTCAAGGCATACACAATCTCAAATACCTATAATAGACATTTTATGACATATAAATGGATCATTTAGTTAGAAATGTGGATAATAGGCAAAGGATAGGTCATTTAGGGGTCTATTGGTTGGATTTTGGTCGTATTCGCTCCCAAACCTTTGAGACTTGGTTTTTTTTGCGATTTCAAGGCATACACAATCCCAAATACCTATAATAGACATGTTATGACAAATAAATGGATCATTTAGTTAGAAATGTGGATAATAGGCAAAGGATAGGTCATTTAGGGGTCTATTGGTTGGATTTTGGTCGTATTCGCTCCCAAACCTTTGACACTTGGTTTTTTTTTGTGATTTCAAGGCTTATACATCTAAAACTATCTATAATTAACATGTTATGACAAAGAAATGATTCATTTATTAACAAATGTAGATAATAGGCAAAGGATAGGTCATTTAGGGGTCTATTGGTTGGATTTTGGTCGTATTCGCTCCCAAACCTTTGAGACTTGGTTTTTTTTGTGATTTCAAGGCATATACATCTAAAACTATCTATAATAAACATGGTATGGCAAAGAAATGATTCATTTATTAACAAATGTAGAAAATAGGCAAAGAATTTTGATTTTAGCTTACATATTTACTTTGTGCAACTTTTCATATGTCTATCTTGTAGGAGGCCTACCAGAAGAAAGTTGAAGAAGCAAGCACCCAAGGGATTCAGAAGAGTCCAAATGAGTTGTACTGGGAAACTGTAGGTGGTCGAAACAAGAAGGGTCATGTGAAGGGACTTGGCCAAGGTGCGGAGCTGTATTACGGCAGCCGGAATAGTTCCAAGTCTTCCCAGCAGTACACGCCTTCCTTTCTTTCCCAGATGCAAGATCAGATGGACCAGAGGATGGAGCAGAGGTTGGAGGAGAGTGTGCAAGCGATGCGGAGTGAAATGGAAGTCGAGATGGAGACTCGATTGGCCGAAATAGAAAGGAGAAACCAAGAGAGGTATGAAGAGATGATGCGTCGATTCTCCAGCAACGACTCATGTTCCAACATTCCACATCAGCGTCGAGACCCCACGAACGACGACCGAGGTAGCGGCGGTGCAGGGATAGGTACTGTAGCTTAGAATTTGTGTACGTAATTGGACATGTATTTGGTTTTAAATTATGTTGTATTGTTGAACAAATTAAAATATATACATTAATATTATTGTTAATATATATATATATATATATATATGAAAATATTTTCATATTTAAATCATCAATTCAAAATTAACACAAATTAGGTGCAGGATATAGGTGAGCAAAATCGAATTAAATAATTAAATTATTGTTTATTAAACAGGAAACTTCCGACGGAATTGTTTGTCGGAAATGGATACCTTCCGACGGAACAATTCGTCGGAACATAAGAGGTTCCGACGGAAATTTCCATCGCAACCTATTATGTTCCGACGGATTATTCCGTCGGAAGGTATTCATTTCCGACAAACAATTCCGTCGGAACACCGAATTTTCCGATGAACTAATTCCGTCGGAACGTAAGATATTCCGTCGGAAGCCTTCCCATTTACGACGGAAATAAGTTCGTCGGAATGTTGCGACGGACTTTCAATTTAAGTCAAAATCAGCTCCGACAGACGTATATCCGTCGGAAAGGTGTCTTCCGACGGAATTTTCATCGGAAAACGTCCATTTTCCGACAAGGGTCGTTACGACAGACATCTTCCGACGAAATTCCGTCGGAAAGGTCGATTCCGATGGATTTTTTTATGATTCCGACGGGATTTTTCCGTCGGAATTAAGCTGTTTTCTTGTAGTGATTGCAGCCGGTTTCTCAATAGTCACCCGATCTTTTATTTCCATGAGGATGGAGTAACAGTCCTTGTTGAACTCGTACTTGGGAATGTACGGTTTCAACTCTTTTTTCTTCTTCTGGGATGGCTGACCAGAATTGTCCGCCACCTAGACCTCTCTCCTTTTCTTGCTCTCCTCTTTTTTAGCCGGCTGGCTTGACCGGCTCTCTTTTTTATCGGAATTTTTAGGGTCCGACGGTTGCTTGATAGAACAGAGCTCCGTCGCCTGTATATAGGCTTCGGCTTCCATCAAAGCTTCTTGGAGGGTAGCAACCCTCTTTCTAACCAGATCGACCCGTCCTTCAGACCCTTGAAGTCTATGTAGGCAACTTCGTCATACAGCCCTTGAGTCTGAATTCTCATCAAATTGAACCGCCTGACATAGGACCTCAGCCCCTCTCTATCTCCCTGCTGGATAGCTTCCGAGTCAAGACTTGTCTTTTTGGCGAAGATATTCATAGAGAAGTTGGACGCGAACAAGTATGCAAGCGTCTTGAAATTGTTGATGCATTCGGCTGGCAGATTGCCAAACCATCGTTAGGCTATACCCTTCAATGTCGCCGGGAAGTATCGGCACCAGGCGGCATCATCCAACCCCTGTAAATACATGAGGTTGGTGTAAGCCATTAACTGGTCTTCCGGGTTGGTGCAATGGTACCGTCATAGGTACCAACCAACATATTTTTAACCTTAGCCGGCTGAGCCGCCTCGGTTATCTCCTTAGAGAAAGTCGACGGTTGTCCCCAAAGGTTTAGCAGCCGGAGCTTCCAGTCTATAGGCTGGACATTCAGTGTCGCCTGACCCCCGAAGAGGGTCGGCTGCATGTATGGTGATCCATATGGCATGTATGGTTGTTGGGGCACAAACAGAGCTGGCTGGATAATCTGAGGGTCAGTTCCTGCGGTCATGTCGCGTGACTGACTCTCTCGGTTTGTTTCCGAATACCTCATTGAAGCATTCGGGAAGCTGTCTGGGTACGTCGACGTTGAAGCCGACTCAGACAATTGTTGGCTTCTCTTCTGCTGGATTAACATCCGGGCATCCGAGTAAGTCTTCTTTGATCCATCCGGCTGAACTTGCCGGATGGCTTTCCTTTTCCCTGCTTCAGGGAAACGAAGTTTTGATAAATCAATCACGGGTCCATCCATCCCCTTTGGTTTAGAGTGAGGAGAAGGCACACGATCCTTCACATGCTTCTTCCCTGAGGGAGAAGGCTTCTTGGCCGACTAACCCTTGTTGGTGTCAGTCGTCCTCTTGTTTATCAGGTCCTTGATTTCCCCTTTGAAACTTGTCAAGAATTTCATGAGTTCGTCTCTGGTAACAGGGGCAGCACCCTCCACCGCCTGGGGTTGCCCAGCCGGCTTGACGGTTGGGCTGTTAGGACCAGCTTTGCCTTCGCCCCGTTCCTTTGTTTCCTTGAAACGGGTGCGTCTTGTTCTGAGTGACCCGTCTGGGGCCACATGGGTGTCGACATCGAAGCCGTCACCACTGTCTTGGTCTGTGTAGACCTCATCGGCATTTTTCCCAACGAATGTGTACCCTGAAATGCTATAATATTGGGATTTTAAGATATCAATAACCTACTGTAGTTATTAAGAGGGTTAAGCAAAAAAGATACGGAGTGATTAAATAAATAAATAAATGAGAAAGATAATATGTTCTATTACCTTAACTCTTTGAGCAGTATGTAACTATATATGTTGATGATGGTAGACTTCAACGAATATGCACATTAGGGATGTGGCATATTTTGGGCCAGTCTTCCCCATCTGATTTCCGACATCTTTTAGCAAGCTCACCGTGACTGTAGGTTATTTCAAGTGTAGTGAGGGAGGTGAGGTGTCTCATGGCTTCTGGCAGTGATTTAAGTTCGCTGCAATATGCTATTTGAAGTGTAGTGAGGGAGGTGAGGTGTCTCATTGCTTCTGGCAGTGATTTCAGTTCATAGCAACTATAAACTTCAAGTGTAGTGAGGGAGGTGAGGTGTCTCATTGCTTCTGGCAACGATTTCAGTCTTGTGCAATTACCAATTTCAAGTGCAGTGAGGGAGGTGAGGTGTCGCATTTCCTCAGGCAGTGATTTGAGTTTTGTGCACCACTGAATTTTGAGTTGTTTTAGAGATGTAAGGGAGTTGAAGCATTCCCCAAAGTCTTCCAAGTTATCGCAGTATTTAATAAGGGGATTGAAGGGAGGTTAAGTACTGAATCCCCTTTGGCAGAACAATATATTTCCAAGAAAGAAAGAGATTGAAGAGGTTCCCATGGCATGCCTTCTATATTCAATAATAATTTTAGATTGGTGAGATACTCTATTTCCATATTCTGCAATCCCCTGCAACCCCTTAAAGCGAGGTTTTGAAGAGAAGAGCAGCTTTGTAATCCATCCCTTATTGTTCCCATATTTATATGTCTCGAATAAATATATACATCGCTTCCCACAAACTCCCTAGATAGGGAATTGAAAACGCATGCATCGTCTATACTCAAGTATTTCAAAGAGATTGGATTGCTTTGAACATCGCCTTCTTTCTTACAAAATGTTAGCGCTTCATTGACGTCGTCAAGCTGCAGATGTGTTAATAATGGACATGGAGGAATGTCTGTCAATCTCTCGCCGCAACCTCTAATATTCAATTTCCAGAGACGAGGAAATGATGGGATGAAAACAGCTTCCTTTTCCGTCCATCTTATATCCCTCCACCATCTCTTTAATGCTGGCATGTGTTCTAGCTATAACTTCTCAAGAGCCGGGAAAAAATTCGTTGATGAAGAAGGTGCATTGCTATCTATGTACTCCAAATTCTGCATATACCGGAGGCAAAGCTTTTTGAGATGGCAAAGTTGACTCAGTGACGATGGCAGATGTTGCAACCTATCACATTTTCTCAAGTCGATACGCACAAGCCCTAACGCAAAACTTGGCAATTTGGTCCCACCATAGTACTCCATCTCCAAATGCTGAAATTGGTGATTACAGAACAGGCTCTCCATCAATGTCTCCTTAAATGGGTGACTAGACTTAAGTTTACAACTTAACTTTAAAGACCGGAGTTTTACATGCAACACTGTACTAGATATCAGATATCCTTCGTACTTATAATCTTTAACGTCGAGATCACCGCTGAGGTTACTGATAAGAGCTGCCAAGTCTCTAAGCTTGCCTTTTTTATCATCATCCTTACTCAATAAAAAAGTCGGTAGCGTGTGAAGACATGTTAATTTACCCATCCCTGCTGGCATATGAGTAAAGCTGTTACATCCCTTCATATCCAACACCCTAAGATTTACCAGTTTGCACGTGTCCTCGGGCAACTCCTTCAGACTGTTACAATAACCCAAATTTAAAGTTGTAAATTGTATAGCTTGGTGATTGATTTAGGAAGCATCTCCAATTTATCATTGCGTGACAGATCTAGGTACCTCAAATGTAACAATCCTCCCATCCCTTCTGGCAAATGAGTCAAGATCCTACATTTAGATAAATCCAACATCCTAAGATTTACTAATCTACATGTATCGTCAGGCAACTCCTTTAAAAGTCTAAAATCACAGTCTAACATTGCAGATTGTGAAGCTTGACGATCGATTTAGAAAGCATCTCAAATTCATAATCACTTGGCAGAACAAGGTACCTCAACTGTAACAATTCTCCCATCCCTGCTGGCATATGAGTCAAGCTCTCACATTCTGATAGAACTAACACCCTAAGATTTACTAGTTTGCTTATGTCCTCTGGCATATGAGTTAAGCTCCTACAGCCATGCATATCCAACATCCTGAGATTTACTAATTTGCTTGTATCCTCAGGCAACTCCTTTAATTTACTGCAACTTCTCAATCTTAATGTTTGCAGATTGTGAAGCTTGGTGATCGATTTAGGGAGCATCTCCAGATCATAAAAATTTGACAGATCTAGATACCTCAAGTGTGATAATTTACCTAGTTTATCTGGTAAGTTTCTAATACACACAGAGTCCCACATATCCAATACCCTTACACAACTACAATTTGAAATAATTGCATCACTAGTTGTGGATACAGAATACTTCATACAGGTACGTAGTGTTTTAGTTGGACAATTACGCGAGTGAAACCAGGTAGTCAGAACTTTATTACTCCCAATGTATAGATGACGAACTTTCCCTTCTAAATCTTTTGTACAAGCTGTCAATGTCAAGAACTCTTTTGCTGCAACATTTCTAGCAAGGTCACGCATGAGATCATGCATCTTAAATGAACAAACTTCATCAATTTGCCCCTAGTAATGTTTTGGAAAAAACATCTATGCAATCAAATTGATAGATATTTTTCACCGACATCTTCCATGCTCTCATTATTAGAACTTGGAACAAGATATCCTTGTGCCATCCTGAGATGAATTAACTCTAATTTATCAATTTCATAGTCCTCAGGGAAGAGTGAGCAAAAGCTAAAACAAGTTTTTAACTCAGGAGAAAGGTGATAATAGCTAAACATCAATGTTGGCATTATGCCTTTCTCACAATCATAAAAGTTTGCCAAATCAATACTTCTAAATGACTCCCAAACTGCAATATCTTGTTTAAACAACAAATTGGCTACCACTTTTATGGAAAGAGGCACATTGGCACATTTTTCTAAGATATCCTCTCCTATCTCAACAAGGTCATCGGTGACAGCTTCATCTTCCCTTTTTTCTAGTGATATTCTTGAATAATTCCCAAGACTCCTCCTTTGAGAGACCTTCTAATTCATGTATTTGACAGTTTCCAATAACTTCAGCCGCATTTTTGGAGCGGCTAGTCACCAAAATCCTACTTCCCCTTCCACCTAAATTCAAGAAGTCTTTCAACTCACCCCAATTTTTTCGTTCCTCATACCACATATCATCTAAAACAAGCAAGTACCTTTTCCCTTCTGTGAGTTTCTGAACATTCCTATGTATCTTCTGAAGTGTACACTCCTTATTCTTTTCCTTATGTATCTTACCTAGGATCTGATCTCTGTCAAAATTTTCAGATACACAAACCCAATACATCTTTTCTTGAAAGGCCTCTTTAATCCTATGATCTTCAAACACGAGCTGGGCAAGAGCAGTTTTTCCCAAACCCCCAATCCCTACAATAGTCACAAAAGAAATATTTTTCTCCGATTCATCTTTTAACAACAAATCCACAATGGTCTCCTTATCAGCATCTCTCCCAATAATACTCTCTTCTAACACATAAGGACTGGTTTCCTATCTAACATTCACAGGCTTATACAGGTCACCAAACCCAAAATTTGAATGGTTTTTAGCCAAGCCATCCAACTTCTCCCTAAGCTTCTTAATTTCTTTTGACTTATCAAAAGCAAATATGAGTTGGTTATTAGAGGAGAAGAAACGTCATACCTTCTTAAAAGCTTACCACCAGGCATTTCTTTCAACTGATGAGAAATGGTGTTGAATTCATCCAACAGATCATCAGCATCATAGACAACATCTTTGAGGTTCTGGACCCAGTATTGGCCTTCATTTGTGAGCTCCTGACACTTGGAGTCGGCATCCAGGAGGAAATTTTTAATGGTTCTGACAGTTTCGAGCAACTTATGAAGCTCGGATTCATAATTAAAGATGGAGCATAGCTTTCACACTTCTGCACTCTGTAACGTCGCAAACAGCATCTGAGCAACAGTGAGTGCAGTAGCAGCTTCCATGTTACAGTAAAGTTCTCAAGAAGAAAAGGCAGAGAAAGGATGAAGCTTATAAGTATAGAATGGTATTCTTTTTGGTTGGTGAGAAATACGAGCTTTACAATGGTCTTTAAATAACGGGTGAACCTTAGTTTTCGACTATGTAGGATGCTTAACGGTCCTCTCTAAAATTAACGGAAAGAAATTATCAATTTAACATTTTTAAGAAAAAATCACATGCAGTTGAACTGCCAAATGACCAATTATATACAAGTCCCTTGAATGAATTACCAGTACAGTAAAAAGTCACATGGTTTGGTTGGTTGTTTGAAGAATGAAAGCAAACGCGTATCGGATGAATCAATCTTCCATGTTTGATGCAAGTAATCCAAACTTGTATCACACTGTAATTCATTAAAGTATTATCCTCCCTAATATATCATTTTAATATTTTAAACTGTATCCACATGCAGTTGAACTGCCCATTTATCAGTTTTATACAAGTCCCTTTAAAAAATATCCAGTGCAAAAGACCAATGTACAAAGCAAATCTGCATACACAAATGCCTCAGCGAGAAGAATTATACAAGATATATCAAGATGAAAGAAACTGAATTCTAACTGAATTCTTGTAACAAATCGTTAACAAGAGAAAATACTATATCTGCAAGGGTATAATGTGTATGGTTCTTACATTTCAAACTGCAGACAACTCCGTTGATGTCATTTAGAAAGTCGTTGCAGGTTGTGACAAAGATATCAAGTCGGAGTCCAACAACTTTTGCGATGCATCTTGCACCAGACAAAAATGAACTGAATTTCAAAATTTAAAAAATAAAAGAATTAAAAATATCATACAAATTTTCAAAATTCCGGGATATAAGAAAGCAAATTTGTGCTGCAGTACTTATTCACAACACACAGCCTGGTGTTCCTTTTGCAACTTCTCCCATAAGCACAGCACCTTTCTTGGGTTTTGATAATGTGCGAGGATGTAATCAGCATCACATCCAGTATGGTGAAAACGATCATCACTGATGTATTTAACTTCGTGGCCACTGTCCTTGTATTTCTCAATCCAAATGCCCATAGCAACATCCTCTAATTTAAAGAGCTGAAATGGGAGTTAGCAAGAATATTAAAGCAGGCTAACAGTGTTGCTTGCATCAAGGTTTCAAGTTCCTTTTTTAATGGTCATTGTATTGCTGAAATCAAGAGTTAAATTATTTACTTAAGACACTTAATGATCATTTTATATATTTTACAGACAAAATGCTAAATCAGAGTTCAAGGGCTTTTTGTCCTAGCCCCCTTACAAATAAAGTGTGCCAAAACTAACACGGAGTAGCACCCCTTTAATTAACACCCAAAAAAAAAACTCCCAAGGTGTCTTTCTATTTATGAACTATATATACGTGTACACACACATGTTAGAACAAAGTTCCAGTGCGAATTAAGTCCAAAATAAGATCCAACTTCGTCCCTCAAAAGTAAGCAAAAAATACATTTAAGTGAATAGTATTGATATGAAAGTTAAATATTCATTATGTGCACTCTTTGTACTTTATTTTATTTAACTCTCAATCAAGAAAATACATAAGTCGTAATCATCAAAGTATCAAACATAAGCATTAATAAAAAGGATCTTCAATAAAAAAAAAAAAAAAAAAAAAAAAAAAAAAAAAAGGTATAACATAAGTTTATGTTCATTTGATTTTAAAAGAGAGGAAAAAAACTAGTAACAGTCCCTCAAATTTTTTTTTTTAAACTCTTTTTGACAATTTACACTATTCGCATTCCCCACTTTGACTATATTGGTGATTACATATAATGAAAAACAGTCATATGAGACATTATTAGATTCATCTCAATGAATGGTTTCGAAATATCAACAGTTTATATTTTTTACTTATTGAAAATTAATAATATAAATAGTTGAAGTTTCGCATTGACAAGCATGAAAAGTGGAAATGGTTAAATTAAAAAGAAACATGCGGAGTAATAAATAAAATCTCTCTTACTTTATCTATCTTTTTTCTTATACTCACCGACCTTTTACTCACTCTCTCCAACTTAAACTACAGTTTCCTTATAAACACTCGTGTTTTCCAAAATTTTCTTAATCTACACATGAAACTGAATAGAACACACAAAAATAAAAATAAAAATAAAAATAATTAATAAAAAAAATGGAGGTATTACATGAAAGTAGGGTTTAGAAAAAAGTTTTCCAGCATGTAGGGAGAGAAATGAAAATATTTAAAAGTTAAGGGTACCAGGATATAAAATGATGTCAAGGTATCAAATCAAGAATTACTTTAAAAAATTTCAAATCCAAATATGTGGTATTAGAAGATATGCCTTAGCCCTTGTGCAGTTCATGGTCTTGTAGAAAAGAAGGTTTAATCCAGTGAAAAACAACATATCACTAATATAGTAATATGCATTAAATTGAGTGCAATTAGCACAGGAGAAATCTCCATCAATGCAAAAACTGAAGAAAAGCTAGGCCAGCTAAACAGCAAGGGCACACATCAATTCTAAATGGTTACATGACTTACATCGCCTTTCCATAATGGCTTCTGATAGACAACCATTTAAAAACTCCCCGAATGTTTTAATGGAAATCTATCTACATTGCCAAATCTTTACTTTTTATATTATGATGGCTGTCATAAGAATATTAAAACTACAACAGGAATAATCATTTGAGACACGAAAGGAAACTTCTTGTATTCTTAAACAATTCTATCCTTACTTCCCCTAGATCCCAATTCCTTGTTTAGTTCTAAGCTCCATGTCACTTGTAAAGTCATTTAAATAAAAGGGGGAAAAAAATCTCATATAAACAGTTACCTTAAGATCTCTTTCCTGATGACTACGCACAATGTATTTGGCAATGTCACGGGAAATTATATAACCTGGACCGTGAGCCCATGGAGGAAACGAATCTTTTGGCCATTCCTACAAAACAAGAGCTTGGTAAAGGACTTGAGGTGATGCATAAATGTCACACTTCAGATAAAATTTAATGAACATTATAGGACAATAAATGATACCTCTTCGCTAACAAACCATTTGCTATCTTGGTCCCTGTGGGGAGATGACTGAAATGATATGAGACCATACAGGAGACCACTAGCAGACTTCTCCTTAAGACTTGAAAGCACTACATCAATTCTCACAAAAGCATCATCGTCAATCTTCATTATATATTTAGCTGGGATAATTTTGGTCTGCAATTTAGAGAAGAATGTAAATAGATACTCTTCTGAATTAATCTAAATTTAATAAATCCTTCGGCGAAGTTTCGTTGCAACTTCTCTTTCTCACTATAACAGAAAAATGAAAACTTGTTCTTTTCTTTTTCTCGTGCACAAGGTTGGAATTACTTGCCAGTTGCATCTATTGTCAAAAGCAAGTCAACCATAATTTATAATTTATAATTTATATAGCACTTGCTTGGATGTTTATTTTGCAGAATCAGGAAGACAAACCCCATGAAATACTCCCACTGTCCCAAAAGTATTAGGCATCAGGTACATTTGATTTGCAGTTACTTTTAAGAATTTTAGCTATAAACCCTAACAATACTTCACTGTTTGAAAATTTTTCACATCCCTATCATACCATAATAATCTCTTTGGAAATAAAGAAGGTCATGCATGCAAGTCATCCATCAAGTTTATTCACTCCTTTATAATATTACCGTATATTATAATCTTGTACAATCTTTGACTCTTTGTGTTTATCCTTTTTGACTGATACTACCAGAGTATAACTTACCATCTTTGTTCACTGCCTCTCATAAATTAGGAATCCCATTTTTTTTCCGTTTCACTGAGAATGAACATCCAAATAAACATTAGCTGCTGGAGCCTATCTCCATTATTATCTCTGCTGCCCCGGTACTGAAATCCCAATTTCATACATAACATTTTGCTAAGTACTAATACAAGTTTCATCTTTCATTTGCTTTTTACTGGGAAATATTGGACTGATTAGGGGTTGAAGCTAAGAAACTACACACTATGACATACAGCGAGATGTTAAAGCAAATGCTGCAAACCCCACTCAGCGAGATGTTACTAATAAGTTTATTTAAGGGCTAATATGTTTAGATGTGTTAGGTTTAGGGTTTATAAGCATAAACAAATCAAAATTCAAGACCAATAAGGGATACTCAAGCTCAATTCACAAATACTACAAGTTTTAACAAGTTCTGGAAATCCAAGTTCATGTTCAATAGATAACTTCAGATAAGTCAAGTTAAAGACTAATAAATTCACAGATGTTCAGATAAGGTAAAGACACGCCCTAAAATAAGGCAATATTTGATTGGAGCATAAACTAAGCAGGTAGAAGCGAACAGTAGCTGCATGAGTTAAATAGCTAATAAAGATAGTCTCTAAACATTGTTCGTTGAAGAATATCTTGGTTAATGACATGTGTTAGCAGCCACCTACCCCAAGTATGCAAACCGCGATTGTTTTCAAGCTGATCAAACTGTAATAGTCAACAAAAGGCATCAGCTGAATGTCTCCATATGCTTGAGCCTCTTTCCACAGGTCAAGATTTACCTCTGCATTCTTGTGCTGCATAAAGTAGATGAAAAGATCATATAGTTGCTCATGGATATTAGCATAGCTTTAAAATAAGTGGTAGAAGTGGTGTAAATCTCTAAAGCATAGCTACCTATGATTTACTAGCAGCATTAGATACACTTTTCATCCGGATCAGCTATAAGTACCTATTATATACTAGCAGCAATAAATACACTTTTCATCCGGATCAGCTAAAAGTTTATTGCTTAAAAAGATACTTCAGAATAATTATCGCATTACTTACAAAACCAATAAGAAAGCGCACAGCTACAATCCCCGAGCGAACAGCTTCATATTGCATCCAAGACCTCCTTAAGGCCATTCTGCGTTCAAAGTTGTTTCCAGTTGAGAAAACTCCAACAAGTAACACAACTCTTCTTTTAAGCAACGATGGGGCTTTGAGTTGACCAACGTCAAAAACTATATCAAGATCTTCTGATACAGGAAGACCTTTGGCTATGCCAGACAAGATGCTCACACCTCCAGTCACTTTGACTTTACTAACCAGCCACAGCTCCAAGTTCTGCAACCATAAAGAAAGAAGAAACAGCTGTCACTATTAATTTGTCCGGAAAATATTATGTGGAGTTTTTATTTTATTTACTTTTTTTTTTATCTTCATGAGCTGGTCACAATAATTCAGAGTGTATATATGTCGTCTAAATTTTATAGTTACCAAAAACTCATTATATTTTTATTATGATCTCACCTCTTTATATTTGAAGGCAGTTTCATGCCTTCCATTGACAGTCATGTGAAATCCTTCCAAACCAGCCCACAGTGTGGCAGTGAATGGACTCCCTTCACTGAATGGGAAATTAGCTCTGATATGAGCATGAGCCACGGAATTGTTAATCTTCTTGTCACCAACAGGAAGACTCTTATTTTGATTTTCTTCCATAGCGCTTCTAATAAGTTGCTCATAGCAACTAGCCAGTCCATCAACTACAATTACAATATAGTTAGTCTTTCTTTATCATCCAAAAGACAGAGAGTGGGAAAGGGGTTCCTATATAGTCAAGGGAAATGTTTCTGAACTATTAAGTGGTTCATTGTACTCTCTGACAGATGAATAGTCTGTGCAGGACTGCAAGACTTGAGGATATGATTTATACTGTCCTAATTGATTGTGTATAATCTCCATCATACAAAAAAGATAGTGGGGGACTAATCCAAAGCATCTCAACATTAGATTATTAAATTTATTGATGCAATTGCAGCAATTCAATTGTTCCACATATTCTGACACACATAAGACGAAATTCACCTTGTATGTAGTTTGTTGACCTTCCTCCAGGACATTTTTCTTCCTTACCCCAGCCAACTTCATTAGTCCATGTATTTTGAACTATTACAGAATAATTTGTACTGTTTTCTTCTGGAAGATAGACATTGTAATGCAAGATAATAGGAGGCTTTTGCTCATGTGGAAACCCCGCACCCTCAAGCTCAATTTGGAAACTTCTATTCCGCCCGTTGGGGATACCAATCAAAGTAACAGAAGAATCTTCAATCAGACCACATGGGAGCTCAAGAAGTCTCCTGCTACTATTCAAAGGCTCATCGAAAGTGCTAACACTAAAAGGACATTTTATTTCATTAGTTCTGTTTACATTGCCGTCATCACCTGCAGTTTTACTTTTCTCCCACTTAATTATTGAAATTAACTCTCTCCAAGCAACAGAAGCTTCTTTTACACCCTTACTTGTCTCAGGCAACCCGTCTGACCTTAACAACACAGTACGCAACTGAGGCCATGTCGCAAAGCTTTTCATATCTTCTTTCGATGCATTTACATTACTATACAAGTCACTAAGTCCTTCAACATCAATAAGATGTGGCTTCTCTTTGATCTTTTCTACTTTTGTCACATTGATCTCAGAAGATTTCGCACTCGAACTGATTTCCTGTGCTTGTGAATCATTACTAGGATGGTTTCTAAAGAAGTCATAAGCTGATTGTTTAATTGGCTTTGGTGGTTGACTGCCGAAGTAGGTATACCTCACCACCAGAACGAAAGACAAAACTAAAATAAGGGTGCCCCCAGACCACTTCTTCATCCCCAAGAGATAATTCACTCAACTATCACTAATATTACAACTAAGCAGAAGACATCCCATCAAACTCCCAAAAAATTTGCAAAGCCGCAAACCCAATCAAAAGTACACTAACAGTTCTGAACTACCATAGAGCACACGATAGTAAGAATCAAACTCCCAAAAGCCCGCAAATCCAATCAAACTCCCAAAAACCCTCAAACCCAATCAAAAGTACACTAACAGTTCTGAACTACCATAGAGCGCACGATAGTGAACATCAAACTCCCAAAAACCCGCAAACCAAATCAAACATGCAATAGCGTCCTGGACTACAATAGAAAGCACAATATATAGAGAGCATCAAACCCACAAATCCGCAAACCCAATCAAATGTACACTAGGTACTTAGCTAGCTCTATCCCCACTACGACAGATAGCACAATATATAGAGAGCTTTAAATCCGCAAACCCAATCTAGCAAAGACTAGCTGTTCTGAACTACCATGAACAGCACAATATTGAGCAGCAAACTCCCAGAAAAATCTGCAAAACCGCAAACCCAATCAAAAGTACAATGGTTATTTGGAACTACAATAGAGAGCATCAAACTCCAACTCTTTAATTCAAAGTTGTTCTTTACTACACTAATGTAAATCCGCAATTCCAATCATAAATTTCCCAAATTTCAAGATTAACAGATAGCTTGAAACTTAAATTGTGCATTATAAAATAACAACAAATAATTACTTCATAATGCTTAATTCCCATCAATATCACAATGTACTGAGATCTAATACAACTTACAAAGATATACCCAACACATAAAAAATAAAATTAAAAAAAAAAAAAAAAAAGAGAGAGAAATTGAAGGTAGAAAAACAGCTTAGAATTTGAAAAGTTTGTACTAGAAATTCCCTGGAAAATTACGAATATATGTTGAACTGTTGAAGTATAAGCAACAAAGATTAGAGTAAACGTACCACAGCTTGAGAATCAAAAGAGAAAATTACAATCTTTCAGGTTTTGTTGACGGAAGTTGAGCAGAACTAAAAAAGGACACCTGCGCTATCGAGGTAGTAAATGAGTTGAAAAAAATACAAATGGGACGTACAGTGTCTAAACGACGGAAGTCCGTTTCAATACTCTATAATACGGGTTTGGACCGTACCTGTTGTTATTAGACAATTAGATGGAGTTCACTATAACTAAACAACCTCATTTGGTACAAGTTAAATCCAACATCTCTTAAATTTGTAATAAATATCTTACCGAGTGAACAATATAATGCAAAATTGCTATTTTTTTTTTTCCATGTATTACGTATCATCTTTTCAATCAGTTTTCATTGAATTAAGTTATACTTCAAGGGTGTTTGGTTAGGAGCTTTTTTTTTTAACCATTAAAAGAGTTGTTTAACCATTTCAAAAAGCTCTTAGAGGTGATTGGTTATGAGCTTTTTAAAAGATCTCACATGAGAATCTTTTTGAAAGAGTATATAGCTTTTTGTACATACACACTAAACAATTAATAAATAACAGTTATTTATCAAACACATTTACACAAACAGCTAATTTCGATCAACTAATCAAAACAATTATGCTAACAGCTAAATGTTAATTGCCAAACAAGGCTTTCGTATTTAGGACTTATATCATTCGCAATAATTGTTCATATAGTTTGATCATCAATTTGAATATGGATCTCTTTCCCCTTAATCCCACATTCCCTCACATGCACGGACAATAGCACTGCCTACTCGGGGTGATTGTTTGGTTTTGGGGTCAAACTAAACAATTTCAAGCTAAATACATGTTGGATATAAGTGAAGTTTGGATGGATTGGTTTGGGGTCCTTTCTCTCAAGCAAAGACAAGGAGTACATTTATTCTTGGAGATTTCTTTTGCCCACACATGTTGGCTGTGACATGTAAACGAGGCCACAAGCTGACCACAGAACTTGTTGCCTATCTTGGTTTATGTGAATTTTCCTTAGGTTATTGACTTTTACCATCTGCAAAAAAACGAAAAATTTGCTTTTATCACCTCCATAAAAAAAAATTATTTTACCACCACATAAAAAAAATGAAAGTTGACTTTTACCACCAACCACCGCCAACTAACGGATTCCGTTCATAAATCCGTTAGTGGGGCCTACCATGTCCACGTGTCACCATATTATTGGGTAAATTTTAAAAAAAATTAAAAAAAAAAAAAAAAAACAAAACCCAATAATATGGTGACACGTGGACATGGTAGGCCTCACTAATGAATCTATGGACGGAATCCGTTAGTTGGCAGTGATTGGTGGTAAAAGGCAACTTTTATTTTTTTATGTGATGGTAAAATACAACTTTTTTTTTATGGAGGTGGTAAAAATAAATTTTTCGTTTTCTGCAGGTGGCAAAAGTCAAAATTTCTTTTTCCTTATGAACATTGAAATCTCATTCATTGATAAGATTCATGATTCTTTAAAGCAAGCATTTATTGTATTAATGAGAAGTACTATACTATTTATGACTAATTATTCGGATGGTATAAGATAACAAAGTAAATATTATCATTTACTCCTCTTGATTGTTAGTTCATCAGTAATCTCTCTTTAGCTCTTTGACTTCCATAATTGTTGTGTTGGTTTTTCCATTGTGATATTCTGATTTCTCGAGTACACCACTGTCACTCTCTACCTTAAATTTAAACTTTATTCTCTCTTTTTCATTTCGAGTATAGGACAAGTCAACAATATTACAAGCACTTAGTACCTTGAAAACGTTGTTCAAATAGAAATGATAGGATACAAGGAAGTGATTCAACATTTATTTAAAGATCGTGGTCTTAGGGAATGATCTTATTAGTGCATAAACACACAACCAGGAAAAAAAAATCTAACCAATTGAGGTTGCATGAGAGTGGGAAATATTTTGGGTTCAAATGTCAATAGAAGAATTGAATATGGATTTAGTGAATAAAACTCATATTTAATATCCCTTTTAATTTTTTAGGAAAAAATCATGGGAATAATCCCACCTGGGTCATTCGTTTTTAATAATCCCACTTTTGGATTATTTTTTAATAATCCGACCTTTACCCCCATTCTTTTTTAATGGTCCCAACAGATACATGACACGTGGCGGCCAGTGATTGGTCAAAAAAAATATTTTTAAAAAAATTAAATTTATTTAAAGAAAAAAAAAATAATTCCCCCAAGCAACCACCCACCACCGAACTACCACCACAGCCCCACCCCCTTAATATGAAACCACCGCAACCCCACTCCCCCTTCACCTGAAACCACCCCTTCCACTCCCAAATCCGACCACCCCACCTTCTTCCCCTCTGAAATCCGACCACCCACCCCCTTCCCCTCTCAAATCCTTTTTCGTGGGATTCAACAAATATACTCATCAAATTCTAGAAAAATCCAATACAAATGGGTAAATCAGAGACGATTCTCACTAAACCCACTTCTATTTCTTGGGTCTTCGTCGGTACCATCGTCGAGATCCGAAACATTTCAATTCCAATGAACCTTACAATAATCGTTGTATCATGCCGCTGCATTTCATCTTAGTCAAGCCCTAATTGCTACTGCTGTCGGAAAATACATTATTGTTAAAATTGCTAAACCTTGATTTTCAATTGTTAAAATTAAGATTATATTTTTGTGTGATTTTGATTATACGAAGTATGTGGTTGTTATTGTGTGATTGAGTTGGTATGTGATGTTGTTGAATATTGCTTGGTGTGTTGTAGAGTTTGATGTTGTAAGAAATGCAGCAGTAAGTACAAATCCACCATTGATGGTGGGTTTTGGGGCAAGGGGGATTAGGTGGTGGTTTAGGGGTCGCGACGCAAGGGAGGGGGGTTCAGCGCGCCGATAATGCCGGGGATAGGGTGTGGGCAGCTCAGCCGCGTTGGGCCGGGAACAGGGGATCGGGGATGGGAGGCAGGGGGTGGCAAAGGGAAGAAGTGGGTGGTGGTTTTGAGGTTGGCTGGATTTGGGGACGTGGGTGGGGTTTCAGGAAAGGGGAAGGCCGGGGCTGGGGATTTCGGGATTGGGTGGGTGATTTTGGGATTGGATGGTGGGGTTGTGTGATGGTTGAGGTTGGTGGTGGTTGGGCGAATGGTGGCCGGTGACAAGTGAGGAGTTGAGGAGGTGGTGGTGGTTTGGGTGGAAGTTTAGGCGATGACTATGGAAGAGGTGGGAGGAGATGAATTAAAAAATTAAAAAAATTGACCGGTTTAACCGATTTCTGGTCCAATGGGACCAATAAAAAAAATGAGGGGTAAAGCAGGTCGGATTATTAAAAAATAATTCAAAGGTGGGATTATTAAAAATGAATGGCCCAAAGGTGAGATTATTCCCATGAATTTTTTCAATTTTTTGAATGTCCTATCGGACTTTTTGAACTATTTACTTGACCTAGTTTGACCAATATTTGTGAATTATAAATAAAAAAAATATAGTCATATAGATATTTCTAGAATCGTCTCGATGAATAGATTAATTAATAATATTCAATTGTTGTAATTTATACTTATTGGTATTTAAAGATATTATTGGTCAAAATTTTACATCAACATGCGTGCCAAAAACTCCAATGGGGCATTTAAAAAAAATGGAGGGAGTATATTTTTTTTTTGTGATTCATTCATTGTTGTTAAAACATGTTTTAATTTATTTTTTTAAATGTGTTTGCAAATGAGAGCATTAAAACACAAAACTTGGTTTCTATGAATAAAAAAGTCAAATAAATTTAAGTTGCAACACCTCTCAATATTTTATTTATTTTTTAATTTTTGTTAAAAATTAAGATAAACAAAATCTTTTTTTTTTTTTTTGGAAGACAAGGTAAACAAAATCTCCAAACAAATCAAATTTCAATCTTATTAAATTCTGTAATCATATTGAACTTTTTTAGTGCTTAAATACCTTCTTTTTTTTTTCCTAACGAAAAAGTGATTTCTAAATACGAGTACCTAACATGACCCACTTGAGACATTCATAATTTGAGAATTAAGAGCACTACCAATGGTGAGCTAAAAATTTGCTCATGGGCATTTTGGGTGGGCATAAAATTTGCTCATGCATTACAATGGTGAGAAAATGAGAAAAAGCCAAAAAATGCTCATGAGCATTTCTGAAAATGCCCAAGACTTGAGCATTTTTGAAGATGATAGTGCTCTGGTGGGCCCCACAATTTGCAATGGTTATATTTTTTGTAATGCAAATTCTGAAATAAATATTTATTAAAAAAAAAATTAAAATTACCAACTGTCATAAAATTTAATTCTCTATAAATAGACATGCATTTTGGTATATTTTGGTATAATTTCAGAAATACCACAAATCCTCCATATTCTTTATTTTAACGGTAAAAACGACACAAATAAAAAAAAATAAGTTACACAAATTTAGACTAGTTTTTATTTATTTGGAGTAATATTGTTAAAATATAAATGAAATTAATAAATAAAGAAGTGTTGTGTAGGAGAGAGAAAGTAATGGTGGGGTATTGAAAAAGTAAGAGAGAGAGAGTAGTGGGCAAGCATTTTTTTGCTCACCATTGGGAGAGAAATTGTGAAAAAAACTTGCCCATGGGCAAAACAGATTTGTTGAGAGAGAAAGTGGGTAGAGAGATAGTGGATGGGCATTTTTTTTTGCTCACCATTGAGAGTGGTCAACATTTTCATCAACTTATGTGAGTTATGTCAAACCCTCAAAATCTGAATTATGTACGAAGTACTGACAAACAAAAAAATCCCTAAAAAATTATGTGTTCTCTCTATTCTCTCTTTTCAAACCTAGTCACCATAGTAAAACTTAGGGGCTGCCATCGATTTTTATCGATCGTAAGCCCCAAATTTTTCTTTAATTTAATTTTTTAGCCAATGAAAATCATCAACTGTAAGGTGATTATAATCAGTCCATCTATGTAGGGTTTAGTCGGTTCCTTAGTGGTGGGATTCTTAGTATTGTTCGTTTATTTTTTTTCGTGTGTGCAGGGATACAAATTTGGAAGATTCGTCTTGTAAATTTGTGGAATTGTGGGTTTGTTGGTTTAGAGGTACAGATTTAGAAGATTTGTCTTGCAAATTTGCTAATTTTGATGACCAATCAAGTTTTATCACTTTCGCGACTATACATCAATGGAGCTCCGCCAATAACGATGCAAAGACACCTAAAATTATTCACGAGCACTTCATAAGCGATGACATTAGTTTAAAGGTGTTAAATACTTGTATTGAGAATTTAGATCTCTTAAGGGATGATTGTAAGTGCCGAATATCGTTATTATTTATTGAAATCTCCCCTCCCTATTCCATTAAAAAAAATGTATGAAGTACTAAAGTGAACTTTTTTGGAAAGAACTTTTTATTTTGTAATTCAAATTTTTATTTTGTAGTGAAATAAAAAATCTTTATTTTTTCTCCATCTACCTTAGAATAATTATGGATTACGCTAGATTATATTTTTTAAAAAATATGTTGCTTCTTATTATAATATTTTTTTATATAAAAGATATTAGATTATACAAGTATACAATATTTTCTTAGTTGGATTAATAAAAATAGCAATTGATGACCAATTTAGAAAATATGAAATCCGAGCATTGATCAGACATTAACTATTTATAGGTCAAGTTCATAAGCATAAATTCACTAAGATACTAAAAAAAAATATGTGCAAGAAATTGGTCAACTTAGATATAAAAATTTAGATAACTTACAAAAGAAGCACCTTCTTTTTTACAAGGAAAGAAAACTTGTACATTAGTTTGAATTCAAGTTAAAGACAAAAGAAAGTCAAGTTAAAAAAACATTTAGGCTAGGTTAAAAAAAGTCGAGTCTATTTAGGTTACAGTAGTTTCGGGTTGATTCAATAACAATTTAGATAAAAATAGGTTGGGTATTTACTAGAGGTGATCATTGTGCGGGCCGGATCGGGCCGACGCTAAAAAATATGCCCATTTCTCGGGTCGGGCCAAATTTTTTTTGCCCAAACCCGCCCAAAATGGTTGGCCTGGGTGGGCTTTATGGGCCCCCCAAAAAAAATTAACTAAATATGCATAAAAACGCATTTCCAAACTCGCCCATAAAAAAAATAAATTCGGGACGTAAAATTCAGCCCAAAACCCGCCCAAAATCGGGTCGGGCCGACGGGTTGGGCCAACTTTGATCACCTCTAGTATATACAAAGTCTAGTAAATCGGGTTTATGTTTTATGTTGTCGAGTCTAACTAGTTTTAGGCCTGTCAAATAATCTTGACTTAGTTTTAGTTTGAGTTTGGGTTGTACGATACATTATTTATGGATGTGTTTGTTAAACATATTGAGGCAAAATGAGCTCATTTGACTAATTTTAGTTGATTAACCAATACAAAAACTTAATTGAAGTGTTTGGTGGTAAGCTAATTCAAAGAGCTTATTCAACCAAATAAGCTCATATTCAATAAGCTACTTGCTTGGAGGAGCTATTTTTTTTATTAGCTTATTCCAGTATTTTAAAGATGAAATAACAATTATAACTTCATTTAACCCAAAATCATACCATAATAAAAATATGTCAATGTCCTTATTGGTCATTTTTCATATATACTCAAATATCTTTAAGTGATTAATTAGTTATTTATTTAATACATTCGGTTTATAGAAACCATTAGTGAAAAGCAGATAATACGATTAATTCTTGGTAAATCAGTCAATATAATACACTTATCCAAAATAGCTAACAACCCAACACGATCAATATCATCTTTCAACTTTTCACCAAACACTACGTTTATAAGGCGGACTTTCATTAATTTATTATAAGATGAGTTAAGTTACCCTAAAATAATTAAAGCTAACCTTATATTCTATTTAATTTACAAATTTTTCAACATAAATTTTACCCTTAAAAAACATTTATAATAATGTATTAGATTATTCATATTAGCCTTTACATGTATCCACTAAAGATACACAATAAACTGCAATCAAACTCATTACAAATTAAAAGTTACCCTTAAATGAGTTAAAGCTACTACGTACATATAGATTACGGAATATATAGATTGTTATAGTTACCTTCAGATTTACTGTCTTTCAATAAAAATAAGTCTTGTTCACTTCATCTTACAAATTAAAAATAATATTTAGTAAAAATAATTTCAATTCTGTAAATATAATTTTAGTTCAACAAAATTAATTTCAGTTTAGTATAAATAAGTTCAAGTTCAGTAAAAATAAATTTTAGTTCAGTAAAAATCAGTGCCTTTAGTGGAGAAATATAATAAAGATTTATTAAACATAATTTCAATTCAACAAATATAATTTCAGTTTAGTAGAATTAATTTCACTTAAGTAAAAATAATTTAGTTTTCGCAAAAATAGTTTTAGCAAAAATAAGGTGGAGCAAACAGGGTCTTAGGACTTGTTCTCTTCAGCTTGTTTCAGATACTTATTAATATTCTTTAATATATTCAAATCAGACCAGACTAAAAACATTCAGATCAGATCAAATCAAAACTTTTTATTATCATTGACTTTTTATTTTTTAATTTGATTATCATTGACTTATTACAAAATATCGTTAATTGCGTATTAAAAAAAATGAAAATTACATATTTGAAAAGTTCATAATGAGATGATTCTAAAAGATTCATTTTGATGATGTTTTCCTTTATAGATTAGTATTAAAATGCGGTCAAAGTTTAATCGTATTATTAAATCAAATCAAACCAGAAAGATAATAAAAACTGAGACCTTATTAAAATCAGACTAAATTAAATCTCCTTATTTCAGTTGAAGAGAACAAGTTCTTAGACTTATAATGTAATCAGTTGCTAGAAAGATTTTGATGTCTATTCAGTTTTCAACATCTTTACCATGTACAATTAAATTACATAATTATTTAGTTAGTATACTATTACCTAATTACATTAATTACGAATCTTAAAACCATATGACGTGGCCTGCCGCACAAACAATGAAGTATAAAATTTTACCCCGTACGAATTGACAACATAGGCGTGTCATTACTCTTAGGTCTATACTTATTTTCTTTATCCCCCGTTTAGGGCTTTTTCACGATTGCGCTGCCTCGCTGCACCCCTCTTCCTCTCTCTCCTCCATTGAAGCGTTCTCCAAATTCTCCATTGAAGCGGATTGTGAGCTTCTCTCCTCCATTGAAGCAGCTTCTGAGGTAAGATATTTTTATTTTTTATTCATCGAATATCAATTTCATAATCTAGTGTTAATCTTTAATTTTATCGACAGTATCATCAATTTAGGGTTCTTCGAATTTGGATTATTCCAATATCGTTTAATGGTTATTACTGAAGTTAAGATTTATAACTAGCGATTTTCTTGCAAGAATTTTGCTATTCATATTTTTGTTAGAAGAATTTACGTAATTTTCCAGCCTACTTTGATAATTAATGTGTTGCAAACTTTTGTCTAGATAATCCTTTAATGTTGGGATAAAAGCATGAAATTTGACCTTTTCTCCCAGAACCGAGGGCGGTCGCCCCGCCTTCTCTTGCTCAGGGACGGGCCTGGATCTGAGTTCTAGCTTGAGGTTGTTTGGTTTTTTTTTTTTTTTTTTTTTTAAAAAACAGAAACTGTGTTGGATTCTCGATTTGGGTATGGACACTCGTGTTAAATATGGAATAGTTTCGTTTTAAAAGCCGAGTGTTGCTAGATTGACATACTAAATGTGACACAAGTACTCGAGGCCGAATAACATAGGGTGTGGAATAAAGGGGAGTTGCAATTAATGATTTGATGTAGCTTAAATGGAGTAGCATTAATAATATCCATTGGTGATGGATAATTTTGTTTATACTGTTAATCATAACGGCAATGGCGTAGTTATTGCTTGCTTGCATCATAGGAAAGGCTTGTAGAGTTTCAATAGAGTATTTATTGTGCTAGCTAGTTAGCTATGATTATTTGCTTATGTATTTCAATCTTGTGTAGTCTCCTACTATAGATAGTGGAAGATGGCAAATGCGGAAGCAGCTTCTGCTGCTGCTGGTCCTAGGTATGCGCCAGATGATCCAACCCTTCCAAGTCCTTGGAAAGGGTTGATTGATGGGAGCTCAGGCCTTACATATTACTGGAATCCGGAGACGAATATCACTCAATATGAAAAGCCAGGTAGTGTACCTCCACCAGTTCCATCTGGTGTACCACATGTTGACAATGCATCCCCGGCGACTGTGCAGCAAGTACCACAGCATGTACAAACTGCTGATGCTTCTCAGTATCCACAGCAATATATGAATCAGTTATCTCATCAGCAAGGACAGTTTCAAGGTCCTCTAGCTGGACAAATTTCTCAGCAGCAGGGTCAGTATCAGGGTCCCCCTACTGGACAAATGGCTCAGCAGCAGCCTGCGCAAGTCCCCCCAGCAGGGCAGCAGCAATATGCACATTATGGGCAAGGATTGGCTCAAAGAGGCTCGCAGATAGGTCAAGCCCCGATGCAACAGGGACAGGCAGCACAGCAACATCATTATGGATCTCAAATGACACAGCAAAGTGGTCAACAGTTACCACAACAAGGGTCACAGACAGTGCAACTCCCCGTTCAGCATAGTTCTCAGCAGTTAGGGAAGCAAGCACCGGGGCAGCAAGGTCCTGCTGTAGGACAATCACAGGGGCATCATTTTATGCCTCATCAAATGCATTATGCTGCTTACCAGCAACCACCGATGCTCCCACAGGGGCAGCAAAATGCACAACCTCACCCTCAGCTCATGCCACAAGGACCACAATTCTCGTATCAACAAGATAATAGAAATGCAATACCCCAGCAGCAAGATGATTCCGATATTTCTAAGATTAAGCAAACCGGGACATCCATTTCTCAGGTTGAGCCAAGTGGTCGTGCAGCTGGTCATGCTCCACCATCTGTCAATGCTTCCAATCATGGATTGCACGCCAGTCCTCTCTCTGGTCAATCAATACCCTTTGCTTCCTCTATGCACATGCATCAACCTCCATTAAATGTTAAACTGCAGGAGAGTCGAAATGATATTGTCAACCCACAACACGCTTCCACTTACCAAAATCAGATGGGCCAATCCATGATGAATAGTCAGCAGCATGGCTTGTCTCCTGTTGGACGAAATCTGTGTTATGATGAAACCCAGCAACTACGATCTGGGCCAGGATATCACTTCAATGCTAACAAGGAAGCACCAATGACGGCTCCTCATCACCCTAATCTTGCTGCCCTACCTATGGCGCGAAATCCGCAGGTACATTGTTCTCTGTTTTGAAATGCTATACTTCGTATTTTTAAATTGGTGCCTTTGCCCTACGATTTATTGACTTTGATAACTGTTTTGCTTAGTGAGTAGTTAGCTGTAATGCTTGGACTTGTTACTTGACCCAGCCGTACCGTGTCGATGCGTCCCGATTCACGGATAAAAAATATGGGTTAGATTTGGAAGAGAGAAAAGTGGATACTACTACCAACTAAGGAACCATATTGTTCATTTGTTCTTGTTTTGAAAGTAATCTCCAATATTATCCATTTGATAATTGAACTGCCGAGTGGCATTGATATGGAAATATGGAATAGAACCTTGGGGACATTACTCTTCGGAGGGAGTTGACCCTTTCGCTATTTGTGGTATAGGGTATATTTCCATTTGGGGGAGGAGGGTTTTTGTAGAGTCATGGCCCTCATGGGTGTAAAAAAAATGGTCAAGTTTTAGTGACAGATATGAAGATACTAGAGATCCACTTTTTTTGTAGTAATGACTTTACATAATAGAGTTTCAATGGAATTAGTGGGGTCTTCTGACCTTCTGTATTGGGTGTTCCTTTTGTTGGCAGTATTTTCTTTTATCCCTGTTTATCTATTTTTTACATTTGAAATCCATTTGATTGAAGCATACTATACAGTATGATTACTCTAGGTCTTTTATGAGATTTTTCACCCAGCAACATTTTTGGGGCTGGGAAGGGCTCTAGTGCGACTGAACCTCTTTGGAGAGGGACTGGTAGTTGGGCCATTATCAGAAAGGTTACTGAAACAATGTTCAATGAATTTCAACATGCAGAAAAGCCTGATGGTCAGACATTGTTGATGTGGATAAAACCTTTTGTATTTAACAAATTATAAAACTACATGAATGCCTACTGTGCAACAGATAATTGAACTTTGTTTATGTATCAGTTGCATTCACAGATATGAATTTTTTAAGCTTTGAAACTGATCTTTGCTCATCGTCGTTGTAGGACTTGAGGATGGGTGCTTTCCCTCATCAAAATGCGCCACCTGGCCATGATGGTAATATGAATATGATATCTGCACATGGGGTGCATAATCATGCAAATGTTGATCTACCAATTACTAACCAACCTTTTTTGAGGCCATCTCCAATTATGCCTGGTTCCTCAGATGTTATGAACATTTCTTCAGTCGAGGCTTATCGACAGCAACATGAAGTGACTGCTTCAGTACGTAAATGTTTGGTTCTGTTTTGGCATATGTGAATTTTATTGTTTTTGGAGTGCATAATTATATTATTGCTCATCCCTTTCAATAGTCCATATGTGCTTGGTTAATTAGTTTGTTTACTTGTTAACTATTTTTGCTCTTTCATCATCTGGTAGCCCTTTTGTCATGATGGGGTATATATTCTTGTGATGCCCGTTGATGTGACACAAGGACTAATATAATTTCATAGGCACCGTTTGTTTTGTAGCTTGAACAATAGCCCGTGGCTGAAGCTCTTGTGATACCTGTTGATGTGACACTAGTATCAATAGAATTTATATCAGCCATTTGCTTTGTAGTTGGAACAATAACCTACACAGAAACTCATATGAAGTCTTGTTAACGGTTTCTAAAAGTTGAAAACCTGAGTGCAAGAATTTCTTCTGAAATTAGCATGACCAGCAAGTTTTTCCTTTTCCTTTCCAAGGATTTTTGAGAGTCAGACAAAAACCTTTTCTTCCTATGTATAATTCTTTAATTTCTGAATAAATTTTTTTGATTTCTAAGCAAAATTAATGATTAATTGCTTTAGTTTTGTACTTTAGTATTTCCTATCTGTATGGATAATTGGATCCTATAGCTTCTGTTTTCCGGTTTTAGTTTGCATGAAACATATGCTTGCGTGTAGTAAGGTAAATGTGAGAGTGTTATGAAATTTTAGTTTTTGATCAAGTTGTAAGTTAAAATTATGTGAAGCATTTGGAAGCTAGTCAAACAGCGCAATCAACAACAACAAAGCCTTGATCCCAAAATGGTGTGGGGTCGGCTAACATGAATAGTCGTAAGTACCCATCCTCAAGAAATGGAACAAAGTATGAATAGTGATTAAGTGAAAGTAGACGAAAACAGAGTGAGCAAAAAAAACAATGGCAGTGTAAAGTGAAAAAAAAGGAACTAAAAAAAAAAAAAATTAAATTTAAAAGAGTGCTTAGGGGAAATTTAAATTGAGGAAAATCATTCTTGTAAAAACACGTTAAATGTTTGAGAATAACCTTAACAAAGGAAATAAATAGAGTTTGCAAAACACAATGAGTTTAGGTAAAAAATAAATAAATTAAAAAATATATTAAAGTATATGTTTTAGTCTTGACATATCCTCAGTGTAGATTATTGATAGTTAATCTACCCTCAAAACCTTCCCTGACCGGTCTCTTTGCAGAAACAACACTCATGATTAAAAAAATTATGTGAAATCACTTTTAATGCCAGTTGTGCCACTATTTACTCAAAGCGACCTTGATTCTATTTCACTCTTTTATTTATTTATTTAATTTATTTATTTATTTTGTTCATCATTTTACCCCATTAAACTCCTTTTGCCTTCTTATTTATTTATTCAATATAGTATCCTCCATGTCCTGTTCAATGATATGTGATAATAATTGATGTTAAGTTTGATGAAACTAGAGATTGATTACTATTTACCAAAGAAATGTGTGCTCTCTTCACCTCAACTCACCGCTTATGCATAGGATCCAAGACCCTATTAGCTTAGTGTGCTTATGCTTATTACTACACTTCTAAAAAGTAGACCTGTGACTTGGAACCTGTGACTTGGATAGAAAGTCACAATTTTGTTTGTGCTATCTGTTCTATGTCTTGCTTATGGGAAGCTTAGAAGGTTTGGTTTGATAAAATTGTGCAGTGTTTATGGTCCAGTGAGGGGCTCATCTGTTGCTTCTGGTTGAGTGGTTGTTAACATGAAAGATATGATGCTCTGCTAAACAAATTGAGTTCAGCATGTGTGTATGGTCCCTGAACACAACATAAAATCTAAATTCTTATTTGAATGTTCACTGGCCTCTTCGTAGTTTGTACCAAATCAAATTTACCATGAATCTTGATAGTTCCAGTTTTTGATTCTCCCTACCCCCCTTCTACTTCATAGCCACTCCCCTTTCACATCCTTTTAGTCTCTCTTTTGTGTGCTAGCTTTCAAGTGAGTCAATTAAAGTCTGTTGTGCTACTTTCCACTCCTAGTCCATCTATTGGCACCTTTTTTTTTGTATTGTAAATTTGTAATAAACAGTGTTTCTGCTTTTGTTTTGAATTTTGATGCTATTTGTTCTTTTTAATTAACTTTTCTTCTATTCATTTTCATTAAGGTGTCAAAAAATAGATTCATTTGTCAGTATAAGATATTCAAAGGACAACCAGTTGTACCATGCACATGATATAGCCTCAGTCATATTCTTGCTGATTTGGATCTTACCCAAATGTAGCCTTGGTTGTGGTAACACCAATTGTACGATAATAATTGCCCATTCAGTATCAGTCTATGCAGTCTATTGAACTTGTGCACATATGGACTTTTCGAGGCCTGTATTAGATAACTTGTACTGGCCACTTGAATTTGTAACATGTATCTTATAGAAAGTCTCTCTTGTAGTCTCTGACGTAATTTTGCCTTTATCTTATGTGAACAGGGAGAAAATGTTCCTGCCCCATTCATGACCTTTGATGCCACTGGTTTTCCCCCAGAGATACTAAGAGAGGTATGAATTACGTTTGTAATGCGTAATTATATAAATTATAACTTATAAGTTTATATATGAAATGGTGTATGTCCCCTTCCAATATCCAGCTTTTTAGTTATACTATTTTAACTGAAAAAGTTTCTTGTCGCAGGTGCGATATCTGCTCCGGTGGGGAGCATATGTCGTACGCTGCACTGCTATGCGCACACTTTACATGCAACAAGTATTCCTTTGAAGGCTGCACAAATGGACTTTGGAGCCTTCATCCATCACTCCTCATGTGACTGGGATATTCTTGCTTGTTGGCCCCCACCTTATAAATCTTAATTGCCTCCTATTGTTGCTTCGCGTTGCTTAAGTAAGCAACCGCATATTAGATAACCTTTTCTTTCCCCGTTAGTTTAGTGTTACATGTGAACAATAAATGGGTGGTGGATCTTGGATTGATCATGTTGTCTTTTCTTGTAACAGATACATTCTGCTGGATTTTCTTCACCAACTCCTATTCAAGCACAAACATGGCCTATTGCACTACAAAACAAAGATATAGTGGCGATTGCAAAGACGGGTTCTGGGAAAACGTTGGGCTATTTGATGCCTGCATTTATGCATCTAAGACAGCGGCGTAATAATCCACGGATTGGTCCAACAGTCTTAGTCTTGGCACCGACTCGTGAACTTGCTACACAAATTCTAGAGGAGGGCAATAAATTTGGGAGATCTTCCAGGATTTCTTGCACGGTGGGTTATTTTTTTTTTTTAATTTACTTATGTTTTATGTCAATGATATGTTCGCTCTTTTTCTATTTTATATTTTATTTGAGCTATTGATTTATCCGATTATTTCTATGCAAATATTCTTCATCTCCCAGTGTTTATATGGTGGAGCTCCAAAGGGTCCTCAGCTAGAAGAATTGCGCCGTGGAGCTGATATTGTTGTGGCAACTCCTGGTCGTCTCAATGACATTCTTGAGACGAGAAATATTGATCTTCGACAAGTTTCGCTGTTTGTTCTCGATGAGGCAGATCGAATGCTTGACATGGGCTTTGAGCCTCAAATACGCAAGATAGTGAATGAAATGCCTCCTCACAGGCAAACTCTCATGTACACAGCAACTTGGCCAAAAGAAGTCAGGAAAATAGCTGGTGATTTGCTCCGCAATCCTGTGCAAGTGAACATTGGCAATGTTGATGAACTTGCTGCAAACAAGTCTATCACACAGGTATTCATCAGATTTTTTAGTGACTAGTTATTTTTGGGCAAGCTGGAACACTTCCCATTATGATTTTTTCTGATGTTTGAGCTTTCAAGAAGTGTGCATGAATGCAATTGTTGTGGGGAATGTTTATTTCAAACCAGAGTTTCTATTGTATGCCATACATCCCTTGTAGGATATTCTTTTTTCCTTGTTTCCCTCTAAAGATTTTTTTTAATGATTATTATTTGTGAAACTGCAGTATGTGGAAGTTGTACCACAAATGGAGAAGCAAAGACGCTTGGAGCAGATTCTTAGAGCCCAGGAAAGGGGCTCTAAAGTTATTGTTTTCTGCTCTACAAAAAAGCTCTGTAATGATCTTGCACGTAGTATTGGACGCAGCTTTCCTGCTGCTGCAATTCATGGGGACAAGTCTCAGAGTGAGAGAGACTATGTATTGAATCAATTCCGTTCCGGGAAGTCACCAATTTTAGTTGCAACTGATGTTGCTGCCAGAGGCCTTGATATAAAGGACATAAGGTAAAGACTTCCTTTGCTTCACATTGTCCCTGGAACAGTCTATTGTACCTGAATTTTCAAGTAACTTTTCCTCTCTAGTACCATGTCAATATTCCCAAAGATGTGCCTTTTTAGTTATTTAAATCATTTTCATTTCACTTTCTGCACTTCTCAAGGACTCTGTTTGCAGGGTGGTGATAAATTATGATTTTCCTACTGGTATTGAAGACTATGTACACCGAATCGGTAGGACTGGCAGAGCAGGGGCAATTGGAATGGCTTATACCTTCCTTTCTGAACAGGATTGGAAGCATGCTGGTGATCTGGTTAAAGTGCTTGAGGGGGCTAACCAGCAAGTCCCTCCACAAGTGAGAGAAATGGCTCTCCGTGGTGGTCCTGCTTTCAATAAAGACCGTAATGGAATGAATAGGTATGAATCAGCCCCTGGTCCTGCTTTTGCTGGCGGTGGACGCTGGGATTCTGGTGGTCGTGGTGGCATGAGGGACAGAGATGGTGACATTGGAGGTCGTGGTGGTGGTGGTTTTGGCGGATTTCGTGGTGGCATGAGAAATGATGGTTTTGGAGGGCGTGGCATGAGAGATAGAGATGATTTTGGACGTGGGGGGCGAGGAGATTTTGGTGGCCGTGGAAATAGGGGAGGGCGAGGAGGATTTGGTGGGCCTAGTGGTGGGTATGGAGGTCGGTCCAGGGATGATTTTGGGTCCAATGAGAGGTTCAACAGTAGAGATGGTGGATTTAGCCGTGGCCGTGGTAGAGGGCGATTTGATAATAACAGGAGAGATGTGACTCCAAGGAGTAGAGGAAGGAGTTACAGTTCTAGCCCTGAGAAGGTTCGTACTTGGGGAGGTTATAGCAGAAGTGTGAGTCGTAGTCGTTCGCGAAGTAGAAGTCGAAGCTGGAGCCGCAGTCGAAGTCCCCGCCGCAGTTATAGCCGTAGCTACAGCCGTAGTCGGAGTCGTGGTCGTAGCCGGAGCCGCAGTAATGAGAGGCCTGTCAGGCGGGAACGTCGTCCTTCTGGGTTTGATAAGCTTCCAGAACCAGAAAATCAAGAACAGAAGGATTTAGCAGCAAATAATGTTGGCCCTCCTGCAGAACCACAAATAACCAATAACAATTCTATACCTGTATATGATGCTGGGGCGAAGTTAGGGATGAAAGATGAGCTTACTGTTTTTTCAGGTGTGGTCAATCAATCTGATCCACAAGCTGGTGAACCCTAGAGCTTTGTATTTACTCTCTGAAGGCATTATTTTCTGAAGGTTAAGCCCTGATTGAAAGATTTGAAACCTTTCAATATTAAGATAAGGATGGGAGTGGGGAGGAAACCTTACCGAGTTACTCGATGCATTTCATGGTTCTTTCAACATCATCTTGCAGAAAATTAAAGCCTTTTTTTGGTTAAATTGCAACTTTTTATCTGGACTTGCACGATGATTTCATTTGAAGCGCAGCCTTGTGTTTTACATCTCGTCTGCCACTAGCTTATTACATGCTTAAGACCTCGAGATATTTTGGTAATGTTCACTATGTATTTTCTTCTGTAGATCTAGCATAAATTTAAAATATTTTTCTCTTAGTATTTTATACTCCGTACTTGATTTTTAAGGGCTATTTTGGCCTAAGGATGAAGCTAGCAATTGACTTACACAAGTTGGTTGGTCAGTAATGTTTGGATTATTTGTACCTCGGCTTTATTTAGTAGCAAAATTGAGTGACTATTATATTACTACAATCCGCATTTTTAATATCATCTTTGTCACATTTAATTCAATTTTTTTTTTAGTGTTTACAAATTACAATTGGTCCTTTTTTTGGTGTTGCATTTTCTAAGTTGCATACTTAGTTTTTTAATTGTACTATTTGCCGTTTACGCTTGTCGATGCAATACTTTAATTAATATCTTTAAGTATACTAGTTGATATTTGAAAAATACACGTTGAGAAGAATCTAATGAGATTTCATGTGATTATTATCTAACGAAGTCTCACATAATTATGTTTTTCTAAACGGATAATCACCAAAGATGGTCAAAAGAATTTGTGTGAATAATGTACAATTCCAAATGATAGAATTAAAAAAAAATATATAATTAAGTGTTTATCTTTCCGTAGATCATCTTCGACAACTTGACAAGGCTGCGATTTGCGAGGAGATAATTTCTCATCTACCTTTATAATCCTTTTGAATGCTTCATCTTCATCCACCAATTTCTAAAGCTAACTTGCCTTTAAAACTTCATTCATGGAATAGATGGGTCTAATTGTAGTAAGGCCTTGGTTGATAATTGGATTAAAGAATTGTTGTGTTTTGCCATGGTCGTGGCAATTAATTTCCACTGATTTGAGTAGATTATTTAGTGCGACCGGTATGTTAAATAGTGCCATCGATTTGTTTCACTAGTTTAACAAACACAAATGTACTTTTAAGTAAGAGTTGGAGCCACTTAAATTTATGCCTAAATGAGAAAGGAGTTGAAGGATGTTTAGGGAAAAGTATGAAGCTCTTGCATGGTAATCAATTCATGATAACAGTCTAACAGATTAAATAGGGGAGATTTAAGTGTGTATTAACTAGAGAAAAAATAATCAAAGAGATGATGTAACTTTAGTACCATCAGTAAGAAATGAAAGTAAATCGATCTAGAAATGGATAGTTTATAATGTCCATAATTACGAAAAATCGAATCAGAGATTACAATCACTATTTATACCTAATTAATAAACACACATTTAAAAAGCACGAGCTAGCCCCAATTGATCTTTATGATCAACATATTTTATCAATATAGTGCTTAGTCATAACAACCACCTCATACTTGTGCTTCGTCAGCTACTTAATCACCAACAACCATAGCCCAAATCATAACTCCGTTTGTTAACGCTAACAATGGTGTACAGGCTGCTTCCTCCATTGAAGCTACCAACGAAACTACCATCTTCATCCATTAAATTGTTCATCGACACCACCATCTCCGGTGGCTTCACTGCCACATCAAATGAAAGCCCTAGTAATAAAAGGTGAAATTAAGGGCTTGGTCAACCCCAAAGGATAGGGGTGACCATTCCACCTTGAAATTAATAACATTGGGAAGTTGGGAGCTTGCCATTGTAGAGAGAGAGAGAGAGATTCGGGGCTTGCCCTTTATAGAGAGAAAGAGAAGGAGTGATTTGAAGCTTGTTCTTAACTAACGGACATTATATTGACATATCATTTTGTTGCTTTTACGAAAATGCCCCATATTAAATGAATGCAAAACAAAAATTGTTCCTATGATTGATAAAATATGTTGATCATAAAGATCAACTTGTATTTAGCTAAAAACCACTTGTCACTACTTATTACACTTCTCTTTTCTCTCTTTTTTATTTATTTTTTTCCCAAAAAAATATTTTACTAGTTCATTTTCATCAAGTAAATACTTCCTCCATTTCATATTACTCGCAATATTTACTAAAAATGGATGCTTCACATTACTCGCAACAAATTGTTTTCTTTCCTTTTACAGTAGGTTTTTTTAATGCAGAAAGACGAAAATACCATTACTTTTTTTTTAAAAAAAAAAGAAAAAACCTAATCAAACTACAAATCTGATTTCATTAGATTAAAACCCTAGGTTAATTAATCTAACCCTTCCTACCAAATTCATTCCCTTTCATCTAAATTCATCATCTTCCCAACCACCTTCTGATCATTCATTGCAACTACATTCAACTTTTTTGACTTAAATGTTGGGTTTGGGTGAAATCTGGAGAACTCTCCAGATTCAAACCCAAACTCTAGTTCTTCATTTGCTTTTCTTATTCTCCCTCCTCTGCCGATCTTCTCTCTATCTCTCACTGGGTTCTCTTTCTTCTCTCGATCTCTTCATTTTCTGGGTTCAATTTCTTTTGTCATTCACCATGAGTACTCCAAATGATAATGACACCGTACTGGGTAGGGGTGAGTAGAATTAGCCAAAACACCACGTCAGTCGGCTACTCCGACGATATAGCTCTACTAATTCCTAGATACAGATACACCACTAGGAATAATTGAGAGAAACCTTGGATACAGAAACACCACCAAGGGGTTAGGGAGATAAAAGCTCAGCCTAAGAAAAACTATTACAACTGTCTAAGTTATGTTAATTAATGCAAGAACCTAACTATTGTTGAATTTGGATATTGCCGACATGAGCTTATAGAGGTGGTCAAATTGGAGGGATTTCTACAGAAAGCTATTCAAAAATTGTAGCTACTCAAGCCTTGTCAGATGAGAACAACGATCTTTTCTGCTTTGAGTCCTTTGGATTCACAAGGGCTAAAGGAAAGCATTCTGCACCTCGCAAAAGGTAGAAAGCTCAGCGAGGAACTAGGGTTCTCAAACTAGTTCATCGCGCGTCATTGATAACTAATATGACGATCGTTGGGGCCAAACTTGCTGAGTATATTTCTAGCGACGAGGAGGATAAGCCATATGAGGTTGTTCTGTTGACAAAGATGCTGTCTAGCCCAATTTTAGGTTAGATCTGGTTGAAAGACCAATGCTGGTAGAGAATCCTGTTGTTGATGATGAAAATGAAGGTGTTGGGAAGGAGATCTGCGTTGCTAAAGAGGTGGATGTTACTGGAGGTGAGCATCAAAGTACTGGGTCGTTAGATTTGGTGGAAGGCCCCTGAGTCCACTGAGCTGGTCCCTTGAGGTGATGCTGGACCTTCAACTGTGGCAAAGAGGGTTAGATCTGGCCTCCCTACTAGTATTGAGCCTAATGATGTGTACCTTGCCTATCCCCTTCATCAACTGTTTGATCGGGATACTATTAGGATACTTGGCCAAAGTGTGACCTGTTAGCCCATAAGTAAAGACTGTAACGAAGATGCAGAAGTACTACCCATAGGTACTACACCCCTCCCCCAACTAATTTGGCAGTGTATAGTAACTACTTCTCACCTAATTTATCTTGACAAATTTTAGTAATTTTTTGGGTTTGAAGTTGTTTTCTACGGAATGGTTGAGTCCTTGTGCAAACACTTGTTGCTTGGTTTTAATCTGGTACCTTGTTGATTTTCATAAAGTATGTGGAATGGTTGACTCTGTCTTTGGTTTTAATCTAGTCCCTTGTTGCTTTGCATTTGACTTGCTATTGATCATCATGTGCTTGTAAATTGTTGGTTTGTTTAATTAAGCAACTACTATACGTTTCTGTCTGTGTTGTGCTTACTGATGCTAGGGGAGTGATTTACTGATGAATGATGAGCTAGTTCCTTAGTGTATTTTGATTGAGTCCTTCACTAAATTGATCTAATTGAGTGGTTGGATGTTGTTGGCTAACAGTCCCATTGGTAGCACTATTATTGATGCATTGAGTCCCTAATTTAAGTTTGCATCAATTGTTTTTACTTCCAAATGATGAAGGAACTCAACTGACAGCATTTCATTTTGAAGTTGTTGAGTTACCCCCTGCCCCCTACTACCCCCCTACCCACTCACACCAAACGCTACCCCCCTACCCCTAAACCGGACCACCAGCCCACACCACCCACCTTAACCCAGCAGTCCCCCTAACCCGTACCACCAACCCACACCACCCCACAACCACCTTAAACCACCCACCCAAAACCCAAAACCATCAGATCTACCACCTTAAACCACCAACCAAAAACCCGAAACCACCATATCTACAACCTTAAACCACCCAGATCTAACCCGAAACCACCAAAAACACCCACCACCTTCAAAAATCGCCACCCAAAAATAAAAAAAAAAAACAAAGAAAAAAATCAGAAAATCGAAAAACCACCCCAAGCCAGACCACCCCCACGCACCATCACACCCACAAACCAAACCACCCCCCATCAGCAGCCACCACCACCCCACCCAACCAAAACCCTAACCCTCCTGGAAAAACGAAAAAAAAAAATCACTGAATTCGTACAAAAAAAAAAAAAAAACAAAAATTACAAACACAAAAACATACCTTAAAACTTGAATTGAGTTCGAGTTTGGTTTATTAAGGCCAAATTTGACCATGAAAAGTCTAGATCTACACTTTTCATGGTCAAATTTGACCATAAAAACCATCAAATCGCGTAGACGAAGGAGAAGGGGCGAGGAAGGAAAAAGGGGAAGGAGAAAAGGGGCGAGGAAGGAGAAAGGGGAAGGAGGAAGGGGCGAGGGGAAGGAGAAAAGGGGAGAGGAAGGAGAAGGAAGAGAAGGAGGAGGAGGAAGAGGAGATCAGAGAAGAAGAGAAGAGAAGAGGAAGGAGGAGAGAGAAAAGGAGAAGATGAGAGGAGAGGCGGTATTTGGGTATTAGGGTTCCCAAAGTTTTTTTTTCGAATTTTTTCTTTTTATATAGTAGAACGTTCCGACGGAATTTTCCGTCAGAAATTTTCCGAAGGATAAAAATCCGTCGGAATAATTAGGTTTTCCGAGGGAATATTTCATAGGAAAATTCCGATGGATTTAAATTCCGTAGAAAAACTAAATTTTCGACGGAATATTCCGTCGGAAGCCTATTATTCCGAGGGAATTAACTTCCGTCGCAAGAATTCCGACGAATTTTCCGTTGTAACGAACTGTTTCCGACGGAATGTTCCGACAAATCCTAATTTCGTCGGAAAGTTTGGAATTTCCAACGGAATATATGTCCGTCGGAAGGATTCTCTCGGAAAACGGCCTATTTCTAGTAGTGTTAGTTCCTACTATGAAATTCTGTTACATAACTGCCTAAGAATGTGTCATTAGTATTGACCAAAAGACACATAACCAA